GACTAGCAGATGAGGAAACAGGATCTACAATTGGCACCTGACAGCAGTCCCCCAAACTCCTGCCTACCCTCTGGTGTCTCTCTGTCCCTGTGTCTCTCTTCCCCCGGTTGGGCTAGAGTTTACACCCTGTCCGGTCACTTAGGAAGAGACTTCAGGCAGGGCTGGCATCGATTTGGGCTGACGAGCCCTCCTGAAGCTCAGCGGGTTTAAAAATCCCCCTAGTTGCCCTGACGCCCTGTTGGAGTCTGCCTTGTTGAACAGACACAAAGGGGTCTGCAGCCTCCCTGCAGCAGCCCTGCCTTTCAGCCAACCTCATTGCTCCAGTGCCAGGACAGCAACCTCATCTCCTGCTAGAGCAGTCTCCTCTCTGCCCAGTAGCACCTGCTCCCCTGTGGTGTCTGCCTCGAAGGCCACTGTGCCCGCAGTGAGGGGCCAGCCCACACCCCATCTCCAACAACCCATACCCCAGCCTTGCAGTGCTGGTTAGCAGCAGCCCTGAGTCAGGGCAGCTCCCTCAGGGCTGGTGATATTGAGCACCCTCTTCAGAAAAAGGTCTCTCCTGTCTTTTGTGCATTTTCTAATTGGATCATTTTGTTTGTGTGCTGTAGAGTTTTGAGAGCTCATGAATTCTAGATAATAGTCTTTGTCAGGTGCATGGTTTTCCAGTATTTTCCCAGTCAGTAGCTTGCCTTTATTTCCTCTTAACAAAGTCTTCATTGAGTTAAAATTTGTTCTGAGGTTTTTATTTTAATGTTGATTTTATCAATTTTCTTTTTGTTTGTGGACTCATGATTTTGGTGTTTTGTCTAAGAACTCTTCATTAAACTATAGGCTCCAAAGACTTAATCTTATAATTTCATCTAAGTCTTTCTTCTAAGTGTTTTATGTTTTGAATTTAAATCTATGATTCATTATGAGCTAAATTTTGTATGAAAGGTAAGATTGAGGTAAAAATTCATTTTCTGGCCTTTGGCTATCTAATTGCTCCAGAACCGTTTAAAATGTACCTCCATTTGTACCTTTGTCAAAAATCAGCTGGTCATATCTTTGTGGGTCTATTTCTGGATTCTTTGTTCTGGTCCATTGGTACACGTGTTTATACCTCTAACTGTGCTGTACTGCCTTGGTTACTGGTTCTATATAGTAGGCCTTCATATTGGCAGTGTAGGCCTCCCACTAAATTAATTCTTTGTCAAGATTATTTTTGCTATTCTAGATCTTATGCCCTTCCATGTAAATTTTAGGATAAGCTTGCCTATTTAAAAAAAAAAAACTAGCTCTGATTTTAGTAAGAAGTCCATCCATTAAATTTTAATTAACTTGAAGCAGACTGATATTTTGACTATGTTAAATGTTCCATTCATGAATATTTTGCCATTGCGTTTATCTAGGTCTTTTCCAGTTACCATTTGTAATTTACAGCATGCAGAGCCTGTGCAGGATTTAAGTTGATGCTTAAGTATTTTATTTTATTTGGAGTGATTATAACAAGTATTTTATTTTATTTGGAGTGATTAAGTTGATGCTTAAGTATTTTATTTTATTTGGAGTGATTATTTCATGTATGTTGAAAAAGACTGAAGTCTGAATGTTGATCTTATATTATGGTCCTTATTGAAATCACTACTGAATAGTTTTAGGAGGTTTTTGTTTGCTTTTAGATTTTTATAGTTTTCTTGGAATTTTCTGTCCAAACTACCATGTTATAAACAGTTTGATTTCTTCTATTTTAATTTGTGTATCTTTGGCCTTATTACACCAGTGAGGGCTTTAGTAAGATTTAAAGTAAGATTAGTAAGCTTAGTAAGGTTGGTGAGAATTGCTGGGGAGAAGCTTTCAGTTTGCCCCTGTAAGTATGATATTAGCCACAGTGTGTGTGTGTGTTTATTCATCCATTTTCTAGGTTAGTTTCTTTATTGGGTTGAGGCAATACTGGGTTCATAAAATGAGCTGAAAAATGAAGCTCCCTCTTCTATTTTCTGGAAGTGTTTTTCTAGCATTAGTGTTAGTTCCTCTTTAAAAGTTTGATTGAATTCGTCAGTGAAACAATTTGGTCTTAGAGTTCTTTTAAAGATCTTATTAATTTAACTCTTAATAAATATAGGATGATATAAAGTATTTAACCTTGTCATTAAATTAATACACGTAGAGTTGTCAATTGTATTCCTCTTTTTGATTCCTGCAAGGTATGTAGTGATAACCTGGTTTTATTGATACTGATCATTTATATCTGTGTTTTTGCTTTGTCAGTCTTTCTAGAAGTTGGTTCGTTTTAATGATTGTTTTTTAAAGTCAATTGTTTATTTCGTTTATTTTGTCTACTGTTTCTGTGTTTTTAATTTTGTGGACTTTTGCCTTTATCTTTATTATTTCCTTCTTTCTGCTTGGTTTAGGTTTTTCTGTTCTTTTTCTACTTCCTTAAAGTGGGACTGTAAACTTTTAATTTGAAATCTTTTGTTCAAATGCAAAAATTCAGTGTTGTAAATTTCCCTTTCATGTGACATGTATTTTCATTCAGTTGTACATATTTAAAAAATTTTCCTTTTATAGAATCCTTAGACCTACAAATATTTAGAAGTATGCTACTTAACTTCAAACTGCCTAACTTCTTGTTAACCTTTCTGTTATTGATTTCTAGTTTAATTACATACAGTAAAAAACTGTGTATTATTTTGATTTGTTTAAATCTCTTGAGATTTATTTTATGGCAAGGATATGATCTGTCTTGATAAGTGTTTCTTGGATACTAAAAAGAATGTACATTTTGCTGTTATTAGATAGGGTATTCAATAATATCAGTGAGCTCCAAATGTTAGAAGATGCTGTTTCAGTTCTCTGTCCTTGCTGATTTTTTTCTCGTTGCTCTATCAGTTGTTGAAAGGATAGTAGGATGGCAGTCTCCATCCACAGCTAGATTTGTTAATCCTCAATTTTATTTTTCATTTTCCAATTTCTCCTGTCAGCTTTGTCAGCTTCTATCTCATGTATTTTTCAGCTCTGCTATTTGGTGGACTCACATTTAGGGTAAGCATGATCTCTTGGTTGTCATTTCACGCTATGCAATGTCCCTCTTTGCTCAGATACAGTCTTTCTTCTGAATATTCTTTATGTGATATCAGTGCAGCCACTCTTGTCCTTTTGATTAATGGCTTATCATTTTCAGTCATCTTATATTATTATAGTTGAAGTGAATTTCTTGTAGACAGAACAGAATTGAACATAGAGGTGTTTTTATTGTTTGTTTTTCAATCCACTCTGTAATCCTGTGTTTAATTGGCATAGTTAGGCATTTCACATTTGATGTAATTATTGATTTGTTAGGGACTATATCTGCTATTTTATCTTTATTCTTTAATTATTTTCTCTCCTTTAGTTTTTCCTGACTCCCTGTGGCTTCCTAGAATTCCATTTTGGTGTGTGTTTAGTGTTTATTAATACATCTCTTGTTATAGACTTTTAGTGGTTGCTTTAGGTTTCATATTGTACACACATAAGTTAGAATAATAAACAAGGATTTCACCAGTTTCAGGGGAGAGTGGAAACCTTGCTTCCCTTTAGGTCCCTGGATGCTCACCCATTTGCACTGTAATTGTTCTATATATTCCTTGAGAATCCCATCAGACAAAGTGATAATGTTTTAATTTTATTTCAGTTGACACATAGCAATTGCACATATGTATGAGGTCCAGTGTGTTGTCTCAGTACATGTAGACATTATATAATGATCACATTGGGGTAATTGGCACATTTATCATTTTAAACATTTATCATTTCTTTGTAGTTAAACTTTCAAAATCCTCTTTTGTAGCTATTTTGAACCAATTTGAACTCCAACTATCAAGCATAATTTAAAAACTCCAGAGGAGAATGAAATTTTATTGTATTTAAAAGTGTTTCTGGTTGTTCCTTTTTTCTTCCTTCCTCGTGCTCCAAGATGCCTTCTGGTAACATTTTCTTTGTAATTGAAGACTTTCAGTATTTTTTAAAAGGGTAAATTGGCTGCCCTTCTAGTTTTTCTTTATGGGAGAATGACTTGATTTCTTCTTCACTCCTGAAGGTTGTTTTTGATGGATATAAAAATCTGGGCTGATAGCTCTAATTTCCAGCCACTGAGAAATGTGCTAGTTCCTGCTGGTCTCCATGGTTTCTGAGGAGAAAGTTGCTATTTTATCTATAGGTAAATTATCAAATTTTTTCTCATTCTTTTCAAGGTTTTAATTTTTACTTTTGGTTTTTAGAAATTTGAGTATATTTTGCCGTGGCACAGATTTCTGGGGTGTATTCAGTTTCTTATTAAATCTTCAGGGTTGCATCTTTTACCAGCGTTCATCCATTGTGTGTTTGAATGCTTTTCCAGCTCTTCCTTCTTCCTCTTCCCATTGGGCTGTAGAGACACACATGTTGGATCTTTTGTCCACGGCCCAGGTCCCTGAGGGTTGGTTCTGCCCACCAGAAATCTGTTCTTTCCTTGTTGTTCAGATGAGTAATTTCTGTTGTTCTGTCTTAAAGAGCTCGGATTCTTTCCCTTATACTCTCCACGTACAGCTTGGGGCAGATGAACGCTCTGGCTCTTCACTTGGCCTTTGCTCAGGCTGGGGGTATAATGCAGTTTTAAATGATTTTCTTACGATATTTGTCTGGAGCTGGGCAGTTATGATCTAAAGTATCTCTGTCTGGGAGGTTTGCTTCTTTCTCGGGACTTTGCCAGACAGAGATATATGATGGGAACAGGAACTTCAGTGAGGGTATCAGTGTTGTAAACATCCAGTAAACATTTGAAAAGAAATCAAATCTCAAATAAATTGCACACAATGGGAGATATCTAATAGAAGTGCCCATCTTCACAATCTAAGCTATAACTAAATTTTTATTTCTAAAATTAATAGTGAGTGGAGTTCATGACTACATAAACATCTTTGCAGTAATGGAAGATAACAAAGACTCTGCATACCACCTTCTCCCCAGGCCCAGCCCTCATAACCCATGTCTTTGTCTTTCAGGTTGGGGTTCCCAATGATGATTGTGTCCTGCACTGTCGGGATGTGCTATCTTCTTGTTGTTCATGTTGTGATGGGATGGAATTAGTAGACAGTCACCATTTGAAGACTAAGGGAAGCTTAATCCGTCATCAACATCAGGCAGAAAGGTACCCCAGACCTCTCTGAAGAAGCAAGGTGCTTACCCTGGGATGCTGTGAGTAGAGACAAACTGGTGCTCGAAAATCACGTGTCCTCTTTGTATCCTTTTTCACTAGGGGACAAAACATAGGAAATACAAGATAATTTATCCAGGATTCCTTTACTGGAAACCACATACACTTTAAAAACTTTTTTTTTTGCTATTCTATGTAGGAAAAGACAAAAATTCACCCAAAATAGCTTGCTGTTCGTCACTTCTCCTGAGGCTATACATAGTTTTTCTTCATGTAATTACTTTTCATGTTAAAATAGTCAGCATTCAAATCATATGCCCTTGAATATAGACTTTCTGAAAAATGTATGCCACTTGTAAGGAAGCATTTTTACATTAAAAAAATAAAGTGTTACTTGACAAAAATTTTTGGAATTTATTTATTTCTTGAGTTTTAATTAGTTTATGTTATGTAAAATTGTATTTTATCCATTTGTATTTTCTCTGGAGTTTTATGTTATTATTTAAAAGTCTGGAAATTTGATTTGCAGACAATCAGCGGTGTCCTTTAAACAATACTTTACATCTTTACCAGTCTAGAGTAATAGCTTTCCATTTGGAGGTGAAGAGTCCTCCTGTCGTTACACAGAAGTGTAGATGGTACACTCGGCTCTGCTCTCCCTGCTGTACTCTGGTGTTTGGTCCATGTTTATCATTCCTGATTCTTTTGTGAGCATTCCATATGAGCATGGGTAATGAGAGCAAAGAGCCAGGGGCCTGAGCTTCCTCAGAGGTCTCCTCTATATTGTTCCATCACTGTCGTGGCTATGCCACAGAGGGAGAACCTTCAGTTTCCAGCTGCCTCCGTGCAGTTCCTTGAGAAGAAAATATTTACTGAGTACTCTGCTCAGAAATGATCACTGCATAAAACATCTGACTTCCAAAGATTTGAGGTGCTCAGAGCACTCATAACTGGAAAGTAAGAGACCTTGCTAGGCCCATTTCTGTTGCCAGCACCTTCAGGGTGGGTGTGCCTTTTAATCTGTGTACAGATTAAAGTGTATGTTTGTGAAATGGCAACCTGCTTACTTCCAAAATGGTTGGGAAAGTTATGAGACTGTGCCCTTTGGATTCATGAGCCATCTTTGAAATTCCTTGATAGGAAAAGTGCAATGCCACCTTGTTCTTATTTTGAAATCTAGCTCAGTCCACATCCCACAGGTTCTTCTGTTGCCCCTGACTTTGTGCTTTGGGGGACTCTTCCCTCAGTACGAGTCTGTGATGGAAAGGAGCCTCCCAGTTGGTCCAGCTGTTTCCTCTTTGCTTGACCTCATGGTGGCCTAGATTCTCTCAGTCCTTTCACTGGAGACTTTGTGTCCTTTTCCACCTTCTATCTTCCTATGCCTGGAAGTGGCATTGGCGCCTTTCTTACATCTGTGCTGTTTCCAGCTTAGATCTGTACTTTATTTTTTCAACACTTCCTTTATTCTCAAGTTCAGTTTACCACCTCCTGCCTCTCTTTAGCTCCTCATTTTTCCTTTTTCATTCTTTTTTTTTTGTACCGGAGATTGAACTCGGGTCCTTCCGCTTGCAAGGCAGGTGGCAGAACCACTGAGCTAAATCCCTGGCCCTCCCTTCTCATTCTTTAAGGCTGAAAGTGCATAACTCATTTCTCTCACTTCTCTCTCTTATATAACTCCAGCCTCCCCAATATTTCACATCTTTGGCTTCCACTACCTCTCTTGTAATCCAGTTCCATATTACACTCAAAACTTAGTGCCCAGTAACTGCACCTTGAATTCTTCATCTCAAGTGCCTCCAATACTTCTAACACTTCCAGTTATTTACTCCAGTTTGTTATGTGTTATTATTTAGATCTTGAATGTCCTGTAAGACCTCATGTGTTCAGCAGTGGGGCTTTTGGAAGGTGATTTGGTTATGGGGGCACCCCTTAGCTAACTTGCTCATAGGAGGTGGAGTCTGGTCAGAAGAGGTGGGTCAATTGGAAGGTGGCCTGGAAGGTTATATCTCCCTCCCCAGCTCCTCCCTTTTCTCCATGATTCCTGGCTGCCATGGCATGAGCGGCTTTCCTTTGAAGCAGACTTCCACAGTGCCCTTCCTGCCTTGGAGCCAGAGAATGTAACCATGAACCCACATAAACCTCTCTTCCCTTAAGTTGTGGGTGTCAGGTGTTGTGTCTCAGTGATGACTGAAATTGACTACAAATTTTGGTAGCAGATTATACCTGACTATGTGGTTTAGAATCCCTTGGAACTGGTTTGCAGAAGAAGTTAGGAGAGGTTTGGAAATGCTGGCTGGAGAAGCCCTAAATCCCTGTGAGCTGGACTTGATGGGAGATTCTAGTCAGAGGTCAAAAGATCAGAATGCTATTAGAGATGCAGATAGTAAAGGCCAGGCTCAGGAGATTTTGGTTGGAAACAAGGACTCCATTAGCATCTGGGCTCAAGTCCATGTGTGTTACACTCTGGCAGAAAATTGGTCTTCATTTTGCCCATGTCCTGAGACTTTGAGGGAAAGTGAGACTAAGGACAGTGGATTAATTAATCTGATGAAGGAAATTTCAGGGCATCCTAACATTGAAGCTACGACATGGGTACTTTTAGCCATATCTACTGTGAGAAGCAAAAGTAGGACAAAAAGTAGAGCTGAATAATAAACATTTTTGCTGGTGGCCAGAAAGGAAGCACCTGCAAAATTGGGGCTTGTATAGTTTTAGCCCAGGATAGCATGGTTCCAGAAAAGGTTAGCATAAAAAAGAAGCTGAATATTCTTTGTCAGAACAATAGGAATGATGCCTAGAGAGTATCTCAAATCCTCAAGACCCCATCCATTAAAAGCTCAAGGGTAAAGGCCATAAAGCTTTCATTTGTGAAGAGAGCCACAGGGCACTCTGCTCAAGAAAGGTGGCCTAAGGAATCCATTCCCCAGGATTCTGTTCACAGTGTACAACCATCCAGGATCATGAAGGTCTCTACATCCATGATCCAAGGGGGACAGGCTCCTGCCTGAACTGGTAGCAGAACTTGGCATCATCTACATGTTGCTGGTTTTTACAGAGATGCAGTATGTAGGGTTGGGTCATAGAGGATTGGGTCATGGAGGATTCCATCAAGATTTCAGAAGAAGGTCTGGGAATCCAGGCAGTGTGCCCCTGCAAGGGCAGTGCATGCAGCAGTGAGAGTGAAGCCAGGAGCACAGTGGAGACTCAGGGGGCTGGAGAAGCCAGAAGTGTGGGACATGTGAGGAAGGCATCAGGAAGTGAGTGAAGCGGCCCCAAGAAAGAGGCTGTAAGGGCTACAACCAACAAGGCCAGAGGGCACCACCCACAAGCCTTTGGGAGTTCACATAGTGTCACTACCACTTGCCCCAGTGCTGGACATGAAAGTACAGGATTAATGTTTACTCTGCTGGGTTGCTGCCTCGCTTTGCTCTATTCCTTTCTATCCCCTCATGTCCCCCTTTTGGAATGGGAATGTTTACTCTGCGCCATTGTATGTTGGCATGGTTTAACCTTCTTTTGATTTTCACAGGGGCTCACACTAAGAGTTTGTCTTAGAGGAGACTTTGGGTGAAAATTTATTTGATGTGTTCTTGTCTCAGCAAGGAGGTCCCTGTGGTGTGAGCAAAATGATTCCATGGGACAGCAGGCCAAAGGACACCTGGGTATTGATTGAAAGAAAAAGGTAGAGAAATGAATGAGGGATGGAGAGGGAGTTGTTACATCCAAGATAAATGAGCTCTGCATCAAAGATGAAGGTTGGGTGAGAAAGGAGAAGGACTTTATTTAGGCTACTGCAGTAAGGACATCACCCAAGTTCTGAAGATCCATGTCATAGGAGGCAGTTTTGCCTGAGACTTTTATAGGGAGAGGTAAAAAGTTGCAGAGGGCTGATTTACAGAGACACTGTTCTGCCAAGGGAAAGTCTTGGTCATCTGAACAGGGAATGGTTTTCCCTGTGGTGAGCTGCTTCTAAGGGTACAGAGTTCTAATCTTCGCTAATCAATCACCAGGATCAGTGTTCATTTGGGTTTATCATTTGTCAGTGCAGCCAGAGGACTTGGAGGGTGTGTGTCTCACCTTGTCAGCTGCAGCTGTGTAAATACAGAGCCCTGGACATCCTGTTCTAATACAGCAACAGTCACATGAAACCCAATCACTCACTGTGAGTAGTTGCATATGAAATGTAAATCTTTACTGGTCCTCAAGAGAACAGCAACAACAGCAACAACAAAAGCCAGTGCAGAACCTAGACCAAAACTGAAGAAAAGTAAATCATTTTTCTCCATCTTTCTCCCATCACCAGCACTTCTGGTGTTGTCTCTCTTCTTTTCAGGCCCTAGGCCCCCCACATTCAGCTTCTTAGCCTCTTCCTTCTCTACCCTCCTCTTACCTCCCTGTGTTTGTCTTCTGCACATTTTCTAGTTGCTGTAGTTGGTTCAAGGTTCCCCCAAGGACCCCCAACCAACTGGTGCTATGGGGGGGTGGTACCTTTAGGAAGTGGAACCTAATGGAAGGAATCTAGGTCATCGGGAGTGTGCCCACGAAGGGGATACAGGACCCTGGGTCCTCCCTTTCTCTCCTACTCTTTTGTCTCCTGGCCACCATGGCTTGAGAACTTTCTTCCACCACTGTCTCCCACAGTATTGTTCTGCCTTATTATGAGCCCAAAGGCAATGGGCCAAGTGACCATGGACACACCACTCTGAGACCATGAGTCACAATAATCTTTCCTCTTTTGTTGTCTCAGGTATTTGTCCCAGTGACAGAAAACTAATACCCCAGTCTTCATCCTCAGTATAGAAGTTCCAGTCCTGCCGTTGCTTACAGTTGGCCTCCTTTTCTGCAGATTCCACAATGACAGTTTTCAACCAAGAGTTGGAAATATTAAGAGAAAACATTATACTGAACATCTGTAGCTTTCCCCTTGTCGTTATTCCATAGATAATACAGAATAACTACTTACATAACTCTTTCATGGACTGGGCATTTTAAGTAATCTAGAGATCATTCAAAGTACATGGAGAATGTGCAGGGTTCTATGCAGATATTGTGCCATGTTGGATAAGGGCGGGGGCACCCATGGGATTGGGTTGTCTGTTGGGGGTCCTGGAAACAATCTCTCAAAGACGGTACCGCACCACAAAATTCTGTTGCTCCTTTTCAGATCTTATTTAAATGGCTTCATAATTTAATTAAAAGAGCATCTTCTTCCTCTCTGAGTTCACTCAGATCTCAGATTCCTCGCAGTGAAAGTGGGAAGAGGCCTAGAACACCCAGATTTTAATCTTATTTTATTTATTTTTGCCTCTAGTCACCAGCATTTCTTCATCACAGAGGAATGCTGAAAAGGCATAAATG